TAGAAAAGAGAATATCGAGAAAAAAAGATGTCCGGCGAGAAATCAACAGATGAACCTATTATTAACGCAGTAGACCAATATAGAATAAATGTCTACAACATTATATATGATTGCGTAATAGGAAGCATAGAGTCCAGATTTGTAGGAAACGAGCAACTTTTCAATGATATCGTTTGGCTAGACCCAAATAGTTTCAAAGATATTGAAAAAATCCCTAATATGACATTCAAATTCTTTTCTAAAAAAATAAAAAAATATAACACAAACCTTGATATTGACGTACATTCAATACAAAATGAACTAAAAGACTTTGCTTCAAAATGGGACACTATTAAAGAAATTGCTGTAAATTTTAATCAGGCTACTGCTACTGATCAGGATCAAGATCTTTCCAAAGAAAATGAGACAAAATCTATAAAAGTGCAATGTAAAAACACAAAAAATTGTATCATTTGTTGCTTCGTTGTTTTAACAACGTACAGACTACACACACTGGCTTATCCCGATTTATACATTGTTTATAAATATGTGTTAACGTTATCTTGTACCTTATCAAGTAGGATGCGAAACAACATTTTCAAAATTAAAATATATATTAAATAGATTAAGAAATTGTTTGTCAGAAGAACATTTAGAAGCGTTTCTTTTGATGTCAATAGAAAAAGATATCCTTTTAACATTAGACAATGATAATATTATTGACAATCTTGCTCAAAAAAGTTCTTATCTTAGTAAGTTATTATACTTATAAAATAAAAAATTATTATAATTCAAGCTATTATAACTAAATAAAAAGCTATAATTCTTACAATCCTCTGCCTATATTATAAGTAATATTTTGTTTCGTTTCTGATTGTGTGAGCCGGTATGATACAAAGCTCGGTTCGAAAAAGTCTCCCAATCCGGCCCTGAACGAGATGCAAATAAATTTTATAATTCCTAAAAAACCAGAGTATTTTCCAATAAAATCTCATGACTGTTTAGACAGATTTGATAATTGCTCTAGTGAAGAATATCAAAATACTGTAAGTACTTTTAAAAACTTCAAATTAATAGTCAGATTAAATTTAAATTTCTATGTTTTATAATACAATGTTTATTTGTAGGTTTTGTATTTTCATTTCCTTGGTGGATTAAATCCTAAAGAATGTGTATCTGCTATGATCAAAGAAAGTATCACAGACGATTTCTCTGTTAATATAACATGGACTGGATATGAAAATACTATTGAAATTGCTAGTCGCGGATTAATAACAGCTATATATGGTACATTTCATGACAGTTTTGCGTTTATATTGACATAAAAATATATAATTTGCAGAAGCCTTAGCAAGAAATAACAATTTTCCAAAACCACGGATTCCAGAACTTCAAGAAGCTATAACTGAAGGCCTTCGGGATGCTAAACAACGTGTAAGGAATAAAGAAAAAGAGAAAAAGAATGAGAAGAAAGACAAAAGTAAAAGAAAGATTTTAGAAGAAACATTGTTACAAAATTTAAATATGTTAAATTAATAATAGTATATATATATATATATATATATATATATATATATATACTACATGGGCTGAAAAGTCCCGGGATTTTTCAATAGGTGGCGCCACTAGAAAATTAACATAATTTATTTCGAGAGGTTAATTTGTCACTAGTTTATGTGTAAAGTTTCATGACATTTCGTTCATTCGTTTACACGCTACAGTCGTTTAAACGTCTCTACTTTCGCCTTCATAAAGAAAATGGAAATACAGGAATATCGCATCTTGATCAAACATTGTTTTTTGATG